GGAGCCATCCCTTGACCGCACCCGGGCATCGATCAGCCTCCCATTATATCTGTACCAAATGGAGATTCCCCCGGTACAGCTATTGAAGGCTTCATGAACTACGTGGTCAAAATAGATGTTAAATAATGTGGGAGCCAGAGGACATCCCTGTCGCACCCCAAGGTGTACAGGGAATGGCTCTGACTCCCGGCCACGTAGTTTTACCCGGGCCCGCTCACCATCATGAAGGTCCTTAATGATCGTGAGCAGGGGGTCAGGGACTCCAAAGCACGAAGAACAACCCAGAGCCCAGGCCTACTGATGGTATCATAGGCCTTGACCAAGTCAATAAAGCACAGATGTACGTCTTGCTGGAATTCCCTACACCTCTGCTGTAGCAGACGGATGGAAAATATGGCATCTGTGCAGGACTGCCCTTTCCTGAAACCGCATTGGGGCTCCGCAAGCCTCTCCTCAGCGTGCTTGGCAAGGCAATGTTGAATAATCCTTGCCAGGGCCTTTCCCGGCACACTGAGGAGTGAGATGCCCCTGTAGTTGTTACAGTCTGTGCGGTCCCCCTTCTTAAAGAGGGGGATCACCAGGGCATCCTTCCAATCCTGTGGAACCCGTCCAGTGGTCCAGACTGTTGTTATGATGTCATGTAGGGCAGTCTGTGCACAAATGCCACCCTCCCTCAGCATTTTGCTTGGGAGATCATCTCTGCCGGGTGCCTTTCCTGGTCTCAGACTCCGGATCGCCTTCAGTACTTCCTCAACAGATGGCACCTCAGCCAGCCACTCACAGGAGGTGACTTCCTCCAATATTTGAGGCACCGTAGCCTCAGCAGGGCCATCCCCACTTTGTGCCACAATGTTTTCCTGGCTGAGAGATTTCCCCTCCCCCAGGACCTCACTGAAATGCTCAGCAAATCTGCAAACCTGTTCCTCGGGGTCGGAGATTGGATCACCGTTTTTTCCCCTAATGATGGTAATAGGTATAGTGCTGCAGGTTACTTTTTTGATGGAGTTAAATAGAGATATATGATCACGGGCCACTGAGGCAGACTCCATCTCCTCAGCAACCCGCGACCACCACCCATCCTTGCAGTGCCTTACGGCTCTCCGAACCTCCGAGCAAAGGCTGCGGTACGCCTCCTCATTCTCTGACGTGGGATTCTGTAGTCGATGACAGTGGGCTTGTCGCTTTTTCTCAACTATCCTAAACACCTTTGTCAGCCAGGGTCTCTGGGAAGGTCTGGACCGTGTACCCAAAGCAGCCATTGCAGCTGCATGAGTCACAGTCCTACATCTCGCCCATTTACCTTCGACATCAGGAGGAGTGGGGGACGATGCCAACCCAAGCCGCAAGCGATGATGAAATTCTCGCTTACAACTTCCATCAGATAACTGAGACCAGGCCACTTTAGGTTGGAATGGGGTCCTGGGTGTACACCCACCACCGGAGTGGAAGAATGGCAGGCGCATCTTACAGATGACTAGTCGATGGTCAGAGGGCAGATCAGCTCCACGGTAGGTCCTGGTGTCAAGGACATGGGCTCACATCCGCTGGTCCGTCACTATGTAGTCCAGCCAGATGTTCTTGCTTGGACCCGGCATGCATCCATGATGTTGTGTGGATGCGCCGATGCTGGAACAGCGTGTTGGTAATTACAAGCCCATGGGCTGCACAAAAATCTAGCAGCCTCCTACCGTTGTTATTGAGCTGATCTGGCCTATGCCCTCCAATCACTCCAGACCAGGTGCCAGCATCATGACCAACTCGGGCATTGAAGTCACCCAACAAGATGACTCTATCCCGAGGGGCCACTTTAGCCAGCACCTGTGACAGGACGTCATAGAATGCATCTGACTCATCGGCTTTGCCTGCATCCCTCCACGGATGTTCGTCTTCGGTGGGGGCATAAGTAACCACGACCACCACTCCTCGCCTCTGGTTGATGGGAAGGCGAGCCCAAAGTAGTCTGGGGCTTACAGCTTCCCACACCTCACCACCACGCTCCCACGCCCCCTTCATTCTTTTCTTCAAAAGAAGAGCCACACCCTGTTGTTTGGTAGTCTGCTGCCCCGAGTAGAGGACTGTCCACCCCTCATGGTGGCAGGAGCCAGAACCGGTCCACTGGACCTCCTGAATGCCACAGAGATCTAGACGGTACTGGTCCAGCCCCCGACAGAGGAGTGGCAGCCTCTCCTCCGCAGTGAGCGTTCGAACATTCCACGTGCCCACACAAAGTGGCTTTTCGTTGTTTCTGGAGGAGCCCCGAAGGTAGATATTCAATTTCCTAGCTCCGCCAATTGGGGTTTGGCCAGGAGACGTCATAGACACCTGTCCCCCCGGGGCCTCCGGCAAAAGCTTATTAGTAAAAAAAATATTCGTGGTTTCGTGGTAAAAAATTTGAAGGTGGAGGGGTTACCAGCCCCTCGCACCCGTCCAGAGCCCCCGTTTAGCCACTGTGGTGGTCACAGACGCCATGAGAGGAGGGGTCAATCGGAATTGGCCCTCCCCCCACAGCACTGTCCACGACAGAGTTGCCCGTCCGGCACCGCGAGGATGTTTACACACACGCGCTAATGCACTGAGGCGAGGAATTGTAGTGCTAAGCCATTGACGGCCTAGTCTGAATTAACAATGATATTATGAAGAAGAAAAATGTATGACGACGCTACTTACAATTATGATAACTATAATAATAACAATTATGATAAGGCTGATGATCAAAATTATAAGAGTGATGGCAATGATCAGACTTTCCTGGGAACAATACCTCTTCTGCATCATCGTTATACAGTATTTAATCATCATCATCGACAGTCGCAGAAATAGTGGTAACAGCATTCATAATTAATTGTTATTAATATCATAATGACATAATCCTCATTAACATGGTTATCATGATCTTTGCGTTCATCTTGCTCATCGTGATCTTCTTCATCACCATCATTGTTTTCTGCCTGTGCGTGCCTCAATTCCATTATTTTTTTGCTCTGTACTGTGGCGTGGAGGTGCCAAACTCCCACGTGCTGTTAGGGTGGAATCGAACTCTTTACCCGTGGTGCACCACGGACTGGAGGGCAGAGTCGGTTGCACGAAAGGGCCCCAAGGACAAGACTACAGGGAGACAGGGAAGGGATCCTGGGACAGAGGGGGAGAAGGATTGAGCCGAGGCCAGTGCGCTGGGGATGAGAGGGTGGTGAGACGGGGAGGGAAGAGAGCGAGAGAGAGAGAAGGAGCAAGCAGAAGTGACCTGCAGTGAGGAGCATCTGTTTTCACAGGTGACGGGGGAGAGGAGAGGGATTCAGAGTGGGTGGAGGTCACATACAAGTCACGTGATTTACGGGAGGCTTCCACTGATTTAGAGACTGAGATACACCACCCTGACATCTGAGTACTTCCCACACACGCCGTGCTCTCATGGCGTGATTGAGGCGATTCTGCATGATGGTGGAGTGTTTCCACTGTTGGCATAATGCTTTCACAATGGCTAGGCTCTGTCATGGCCACACTCACTTTTGGCCATTCCGCAATTGCTGAATGGATGAGTAGCAGAATGATGGAAGTGCATAATCAACCTCTGCTCAATTGAAAATTGTGGAATGGGCCGAATTTTACACAAATACGGCCATCATTCAGCTAAAGAACCACGGAATGACAGCCAAAATTGTTGCGTGATTTGGGCTTTCAATTTTGATTGAGGGATCGTATGCAGGTGGATCAGTATCATGGGCCAGCTCCCTTGCAGTGTGCATGCAGTGGCTTTGGTCAGTGCTTGTCGATGGGTGCCTGTAGTTTTTAAAAGGTGCTTCCTATCAATACTTGACACGACAATATTCATAGCTATATGGGGGATCTTTGTCTTTGTGTGTGCGATATATGTGATTGCTGGTGGTTTTAGGATGCGTGTGTTTTTGTAATGACTGGTGGTTAAATTATGTTTTGTGTGGTGTATGGTGATTTAAGGGACTGTGTGTAAATGATGCATGCAGTGTTCTTGGTAGGCGTATGGTATTTGATCGAGCTGTGTATGTGGTATTTGTATGTGTGCAGGGTAACTCGCAGTGGTGAGTACCATTTGACAGGCGTGTATGACGCGTGGGTGTTTTTTGATCGATGTTTGTGAGCGTGCGTGTGGCTGACATCTCTGAGTGTGGTGGCAATGGGTTTAATTTGACCAAAAATATATATGTGTGATTTGGTGCATACAATTGATCTGTGATGCATGCAGTGGCGACGTTGGGTGGTGTTGGACTGGAGCTGTGTGTGTGTGGTGCGGTAGTGTAGCGGTTAGTGCGCTGCGCTACGTACCTGGCCACCCGAGTTCGATTCCCGCTCACGGCCAATACCAGAGATGATTGTCTAAACCGGTCCTGAGCCTCCCCTACATCGACTGAGTACCCGGTGTGGTGTGTAAACATCGCCACTAGGGAGACAAAGGTGGGCGGGCGTGGTTGCTGGCCACCAACCCCCTCGTGTGCCGTTCCGGCCTACATAGGTGCTCGCTAACAACACTTGCCCTAACAGTCTGGTAAGGCTATACGGGGAATATTTGTCTTTGTGTTTGGTGCATGTGCGTGTAGCAGTAGCACAGCGGTTAGAACGCAGCATTATGAATCCGACGACCCGAGTTCGATTCCCGCTGACGGTCAACACCAGTGACAATTATCCGAACCAGTCCTGAGCCTCACCGAGGTCGACTCAGCCTAAGATGAGTACCTGATGCGGTGTATTAACATCGCCACCGTGGAGACAAAGGCGGTCAGGCGTGGTGCTGGTCATCCACCCCCTTAGTGTGCCGTGCCGACCTTAATAGGTGCTCGCGAACAGCACTTGCCCCAGCAGTCTGTTAAGGCTATACAGGGGGATCTTTGTCTTTGTGTGTATGTGTGTGGTGTTGCACACACACGGGCAAGGGCATCGTGTGGAGGCAGCCTGGGGTTGGGTGGGCGTGGATTCGTGCGAGCCGGGGGCAGGAAGACAGCCAATGCGTGCGTGCGCGCGTGGGTCGGCCGGGTGCTGAGTGGTCGTGAGACGCATTGCTAATGCGGTGTGGGGATAGAGACGGGGCGCTGCACACACGGCTTTCGGAGCACGCAAGAGACGTGGCTGGCTGTCTGTGGAGCTGTCCATTCCCCCGACGGTGCTGCCTGGGCATTCACTCAATACCAGGTGAGCGAGCGAGCGAGTGGCTACGTGGATTTCTCCCGCACGTGCACACGCACGTGTCTACCACGTACGCACGCACAGATACACACCTGCGTGCGCACACACAAACACAGACAGGCGACAATGTCAATTTTTGTTGCTCTTTTGAGACTCTGGTATTAATTTGACCTTTTTTTCAAATAGGATGATCCCAATTGGGAAACTGCGGTAAATTTGCAGATTAAAACGTCGCGTATGCGTGTAGGTTATGCGTAAAAAAGTGTATTCGCCTTGATGCTGTGACGTGGTAAAGAAAGCCTCGTTCAGCCCTGCCTGCAAAGAGCGCATTTCTGTTAAATAGTGGCATTTTGTTTGCACACATTATAAGCACGTGCCACTTAAAAAGAAATGAATATACATTAAACGACAGCATGCACAACCCCTATAGCACAAACGTCACATGATATAGACAGATGGGTTTTACGCTGTCGTTTGAAATATAATTGCGCCTGTGTGTGTGTGTGCACGTTGGGATCGCAGTGCACTGTTAAATGCTCCTCCAATTATTATTTTGCGACCGGCTGAATAGGGCTCGGGCACTGGGGCACCGATGTATGCCGGACACACGGCGCGCGGTCGTTATTTAACTATGGCAGCACAGGTCCCGTACACGATTCAAGAGCCGAATGGCTCACAGGGCTATACCTAATAAATGAAACTGCAACTGAGTGCGCGATTTGTTTTGTGCGACGATTGCTAAGTCAGCCGTTGTGAGAGGACAGAGAGCATCGGCGTTAATAAGAGCATAGTTCACGGGCACAAACAATGGCACGTTATGGTTGCCTGGGCGCAGATTGCCGCACTGGTGCGCGCAGTATGTTTGTATGTGCACGCGCATGCATGTACATGCGCACGTAGAGCAGTGGCGGAGTGATTACTGCTACAATCTTAGTAACCCAGGTTAACTCCTTGGCCATACATACCAGTTGCAATTGTCACCTGGCCTGGACCTCCCCTAGGTCAACTCAGCAAGAAAAGCAGTGCCAGCTTTAGCGCTGCAGTTTTAACACTGGGGAAATGCTCGGGCAAAGCAATGTTTGCATGGACACACACTGCACCATGTGCTGCTGGGCTTGCCTGAATAGGTGCTCACTAACCGTGCATTCAACAAGCAGCAATTTCATCTCCAAGGGGCGAATGATGATGGAGCATTCATCTCTATTGGATGCCTTGGAGCCTTTGGGGGAATTTCCATGTTCTCCATGTCTCGAGAGAGGCCCATCTTACCATTGAATGACCACCAGTGACTACCCACGAAGTATAATAATAATAGGGGTTTTTTTCTCCCTTTTTTCTGGCAACAAAACTGAAACCTTTTTTTACGAGGATTCATGTCTGCATTAACCACAATACTTGCAGTCAAAATGCAAACAAAAAACACACCCTGATAATATATGCATTGTCCTTGAAACTGATTGGTCCACACCAGAGACAGCTTTCTTTAGAGCCTAGTCTCAATTGGTACTAGAGCAGATAAACGCCAGAGTGTGTTTTTTGTTTGCATTTTGACTGCAAAAATTGTGGTTAATGCAGACATGAATCCTCGTAAAAAAAAGGTTTCAGTTTTGTTGCCAGAAAAAAAAGGAGAAACAAAACCCTATTATTATATTTTGGTACTGGCAAAGGAGGTCCAATGATGTAGCTCCCACGAAGTGGTACTAATTTGATGAATCACAAAATAAATGATGGGCCGAGTCAACCGAAGTCCTTGATTTTGACCTCGCAAGTCAAAACATTCCAATGGTGAGTCCAGGTCACTCTCAACACAGCGCTGCTGGAGCAGATGTATGCCCAGGTGACTCTTGCTAACGAGACACTTGAGTTCTGATTTGTTAAAAGCAATAAATTGTAACTTGAAACTATACATGGCACATTGTAGCATGCATGTATTATATTTGCCCTATGAACCCGGCGACACGGGTTCGATTCCCACGAGTGACGGTTATCTAAATCGGTCTTGGGCCTCTCCTAGGATGACTCAGCCTCAAATGAGTACTTGGCGCGATGCGTAAACATCGCCACGAGAGATACAAAGGCGGCCCGGCGTGGTGCTGGTCACCCACCCCTTCCTGTGCCATGCCGGCCTTCATAGGTGCTCGCTAACAGCACTTGCTCCTACAGTCTGTTAAGGCTATACGGGGTATCTTTGTCTATATATGCGTGTGGGTGCGTGTGCATGAAGTATCGCCTTGGTGACTAAATACTTGTGAGTTTTTATTTAGTTATTTAACTGCTTGATCGGTATTAATGGGAGCCGGAGTGTAACCGTGCGTAAATCAGTGCCCGCGCATTCACACGTGCGCGCGTGCGCGATCACGCATCGCACCCCTGTTTCTCGCATTGCAGGCAGGAATTGTGAAGAATGGAACTCAAGCAATGGGCATCGCTGTTAGTGTAAATGACACTGGGGGCCGATGTGCCGGTTATAATGCATTACGGAGCGAACGTGTCTAAAATGGCCCAGGAGCTGGGATAAAATAATTGCAGATCTGCTCCGGAGAGGCCAGGGGATGAGTTTCGGGTTTGCACGTACACGCGGATCATAGCCGCAGAGGCAGAATTGCTTCTGGGTGGGGAGGGGGCAGTGGTGTGTGCGTGTGGTTGTGGACCCCATGGGATTTTAGTGCAGTTCATCACAGGCCGTTAGCACACAATGAGGTGTAGCCGGCAACCCCACTGCACCCATGCCACGAGAACAAAACGGCGAAATAAAGGGGAAGATAAAACTGGTGTCTTCTGGGACAAAGACGCGTTCAGTGACCTTTAGTGCCGCCTCTTAGTTTTGTTTGAGGTTCCTATTTTGTTCCTTTTTTACCCATCGCTGCCGCTCCGCTGAACTAGGATCCTTCTCCCGCCGACGTTGGAATGCATTTCCACAACTCCTCCTCCTCCCCCCCTCCTCCCCGGTCGCCTCTACCCGAGTCCTCTTTCGTTCTCTCGCTCTCCACTTTTGAGGTGCCGCTCGTCGTCGGGAGACAAGAGACGGCCAGCTTGCTCACACTTTGAGGATTGTTCACTCCCGCCACTTAACTACAACAAAGGGAGTCTTGGCCCCAGCCTCCGACACCCGCCTCTGCACACCCTGTGTACAGTGCTTGCAGCAAACTCATCGTTGCTGCTCAAGGACTCGGAGCAAACACGGATATTTGCTCAGAGCCGGGGGCATCGCTGCCACTGCCCTCTTGGCATCTGGAATGGCGCGGTGGGAGGTGTGGATTTGCGAGTAAAGATTGTTTCGCATGAGTCCAAGGGTTATTGATTTGAAATGTGGTCCCAGCCACTGAGGTGTGTGTATGCACGTTGAAGTTATTTCGCACAGTACGTAGCCAATCGTGCTAATCGGAGGTGTATGTGCCTACGTCATAGAAGTACATTAATGATTATTTTGGGACTTGGCTCGAGGGCGCTTTCCATAAGAATGTGGAATTTCCACCGCAGGCTCAGGGCTGTTATGTGCGCTGTCCCATTGTTCATGTTTGTATTAAGGCATTTGATTAATTCATTAGTTTGACATTTACTTGTTCAGCTACGTACATTACATTGTAACTTTTAATCATCTATTTTCAGGGATGTAACGATTATCTATTTGTAAAATCAGGAGGCTAATTGTTTTTAAGTTTGTTCAGTTCCCACGTCTTTTTGTGACATTTCAATTGAGTGGAATATTTTCTCTATGGCTACATTAGCAGGCAAAGAAACCTCCAATTTAGTTTGTATTTTTTTTTACAGAATTGTCATAACATTTAGGCGTAATTATGTTCCTTTTATGTTTAAATAAATCAGTGCTCGTCTGGACTAGTATTTTTATGTCTCGTACCACATGCTATATAATTCATGGCATTTATGCCACGAACAAAACTGTATGCTCTTGCTGTTTGTTCTGCGTTTTATGCGAAAGTCAGCGAATATGATTGTGCATTTTGCCGAGTGTACAGTTTCTTTGTATAGGACAGATAAGGTTGTGGTTCAGTTACTTCTGTGCAATAATAAAATTTATGAAGGTACAAACTAAATATAAGTATCTCTTGGAGACAAATATCTAGGCTGTGTGTTGAGCTGTTCACCATAAGTGTAATGTTTTGTCAATGCACAAAAGCATTTGAAATCACGACAAACAGGCAGTGATAATTAAATGTCTTCACAGTGAGACCACTATAGTTTGCTTGAAGTTTACTTTTAATGCTTTTTTTTTCCTTATTAATGAGGCTTAACATTCAGCGGTGTGACATACATCCTAGGTGGTGGGTACAGACATATTAGTCAAGTGCTCTTTGTGCTTTTGTGATTGCGTCTCCCGTTGGACTGGATTTTAAATCCATTTGCAGTCGCCTACTCGCAGTTGTTAAGGACACACACGAAGTGAACAGGGATAGGTGGTCTGGGTGAGCTGGCTGGAGGGCACAGTTTCCTGCTCCTTTCACAAATATAAACATCAACTAAACCAAAACTAAACTTTTTACCATTTTACCAGGTATAGCTGTTTTTCAGTAGCGTCGTGACCACAAATGACAGCTCAACGAAGTGCCTCATCACGTGGACATTTATGGCAGCCCAAGATTCGAAACGCGTGTTTATAAATGCGGAGGGAAATACTGGGGGAACCCCGAGAGAAATCCACACGACCACGGGGCAAACATGCACACTCCAAATATACAGCAGGCGTCAGGGTTGGGATCGAACCCAGGACCCCGGTGTATCAGGCGAGGGAGATAACAACTCACCACCACGAGCTGGTTAACGTTAAACTTAATGTGGAGCTGGTTAACGTTACACTTATTGTGGAGCTGGTTAACGTTACACTTATTGTGGAGCTGGTTAGCGTTAAACTTAATGTGGAGCTGGTTAACGTTAAACTTAATGTGGAGCTGGTTAACGTTACACTTATTGTGGAGCTGGTTAACGTTACACTTATTGTGGAGCTGGTTAACGTTAAACTTAATGTGGAGCTGGTTAACGTTACACTT